TTTTATTTTCTAATTTAGATAATTTATCTTTCAGGAATAATAATTGTTGTGTTAAATTATTTACTTCAGACCTTTTTCTTTCAGATTCAGCATGGAATTCAAATATTTTTTTATCACACTCGTGGTTTTTTGTGTTTATCTCCTTCTCATGCTTCTTCTTTAATGTCATAATATCTTTTGTTAGTTTCTTAATGGTTTATTCTTTTATTTGTATTTCCTTTTTCATTTCTTCTTTCTCTTTCATATCCTCCTCCACTCTTTTATCCTTTTCATTACTTTCTCTTCTTCAATATTCTTCTTTTATTTTTATTAAACTTTTTATCTTCTTTTTCTTTTTCAATATTCATTGCATAATTATTGTATGTTTTATTATCATTTATTTCTATTAGACTGTTTTGTTTTTCAGCATCTTCTTCAATACTCAATATTATTAATTTCTTCTTTTCTATTAGTTTTGGTTTCTTCTCGTGCAAGAAAATACCATCTTCTCCATATTGTTGATGATGTATATTCTTTAATCTTGGTATTTTTAATTTCTTCTATTTCTTGTGGTATAAGTATTTTAATTTCTTCTTCAAAGAGTTTTTTCCAATATTCTTGGTTTTGTATTTCTATCATTTCTTTTCTTTGGTTTATATTTTGTTTCTTATTTTGATGTTGTTTATACCTTCTTTGAGTGTTATTATGGTATTTATTTCTATTATATTGATATTGTTTATTTCTATTGAAATTATTATTAAAGTGTTTATGACGATGATTATAATTGAAGTGATGAGTGAAATAATTTGTATCATCTATGTTATGATAGTTATGGTTATAATTATTGTAATGATTAGTGTGATTGTTTGTGTATCTCTGTCCATACAGATAATACCTATTTTCATTCATTCTTCTGTCATTTTTATTCTTTGGTTGGTATGTATTTCTTCTTTTTTGGTTATTTGTTTTCTATATTTTTTGTGGTGTCTCCTGTAATGGCATTTTTTCATTTTCATATTCATCAAATAAATAATAAATAATAATTTATTGAAATATAAATTATTTGTTATTAATAATTTATATTAAAAAATAATAAAAAGAATAATTGAATGACGGTTATCTTAAAAATAAAATAAGTTCAAACTAAAAATAAAAGAAGAACTAATAAATAATAAAATAATAAAGAAAGAATGAAATTAGGATATAATGAAATAATGATTGTCTCAAAGTATTTTGAAGATATTAATGATTTTATTAATTTAGAAATGGGAGTTAAAAGATTTCAAGGAAATATGGAACGATTTCATTTTAATCCAATTCCATTGAATCAATATTCAAGAAAATTGTTTCCTAATATTGAAACATTTCATATTTATAATAAAGAAGATAAAATATTTAAAGATGGAAGAATAATTAAATATGTAATATGGTATAAAGTAAGTTATTCAAGATATTTAGAAGAGAAAAAAGCAATGATTGAATGTAAAAATATTGAATATACACGAAAATATAGAAATATATTTGGAAATACAATACAAAAAGAAGTTAATTCACATGGAAATTATTGTTTTTATGGATGTAATGATATTCAAGAAAGTGAAATACCAACAAGTGTAAGTAAAATAGGATATGGATGTTTTTCTGGATGTTCATCATTAAAAACAATTAATATACCATCATCATTTACATCATTTGGAATTTGTTGTTTTTATCATTGAGACTGTGAAGAAGAGTTAAAGAATAAAACAATACCAGAAAATTGCTTTGAAGAATGTTTTGAAGAATCTTGTTTTGAATATTAAAGAAGAAATAAAGAAAGAAGATAATTGAATTATTAAAGAATAAAAAGAATGTTTATTTTATAATTTAAATGATAAGAAATACATAATAAACAAATTAAATGATAATAAAATAAAGAATGAAATATCAAATGAATGAAATGAAATAAAATCATTCATCATTGATTTAATTATTAATATGTTATGTTTATTCATTTTTATTTTATTTCATATTATTTATTGTTTCAATATACTGAATTGATAGTTCATCTCTTATTAAATGATATTTCATTCTTTATATTTGTTTTGTAACAATTTT